CTCTTCAAGTAACTGCTTTCAGTTCTTTTGGGTAATATAATCCAGAAGTAGAATTGCTGGATCATAATTCAATTTTTAATTATTTGAAGAACTGCCATACTGTTTTCCGTAGCAGCTGCACCATTTTACATTCCCACCAACAGTGCATAAGGATTGCAATTTCTCCACATTCTTACCAATACTTATTTTGTTTTGTTTTGTTTTTTGAGTAGCCATCCTCATGGGTGGCAGTAGAAAGGGATTTTTAAAAGATAGATTGAAGAGCCAAGAAAAATTAAGAACAAAAATATGATATAAGATTTGAACCAGGAGGAAAAAAATACAGAATAGCCTTAACTGTCAGTCAAATGAATGGCATGGGGGAAAGGCATGAGATAATCACAGGAAAGGAGTTAAAACAGTAAGAGAGAAAATGATAGCCATGGAGGATAGGCAGAGCCCTCTAGTATAAGGAATAGAAATAAAGAATGCAAAGATATAACACAGGGAGATTTTTCTGAAAGGGAGGAAGAACTAAATCTTTGGTGAGAAGGCCATGCCACATACATGGAAAGGCTGATGAAGAGTGACCAAGATAAACCCTGGTCTAAAGCTTCAGTACTGTAAACTCCAGAGAGAAAAAGCAAATAATACAAAAAGGGGGATGTTCAAGTCAGTATCAGAATTCTCCATACCAGCATTCTCTGCCATAAAATATGAGCAAGTTCTACACATGTAAGAGGAATAAAAATATTTAAATAATATAAAATTATATTCATAATTCAGAATATAATAATATGACATTATTTTTATAAATATTGTTATTGTTCAGCAGTGAAGGCAGTAAGCAGACAGTCTTGATCTGAAAGAACTCAAGAAGTGTAGTAACCATGAACCTTTCTTGAAGAAAACCACCCCATGAAGAGATTCACCCAAATGACTCAAATCAAAATAACAGACTCAAAAGCCATGGTTAAAAAACAGTAACAACAACAAAAAACACTGGTGAACATTCAAACCATTAAAAATATAGTTTTAAGACTAAACAGCTGGGAGAAGATTATTGTTACAGAAGCATGTAAATGTTATGCATCCAACAGAAGAAAAATGATATAAGCAAAAAAATCTAGACGTATGAGGAAAAAGAGAGGAAATATAAAGTGTTCATTATAAAGCATCAGTGTGAAGACATGTAGTTTACCTCTTAAATTTTCATTAATTTTTTTCTCAGCATTAAATATTTTGTGTGTATGTGTTTTTTGTTTGTTTTGTTTTTTTAAGCATTTAATTGCAGGTCAGAAAGCCATTTAGGTTCACTTTGGCTGCTTTTTCTTCTGTTATATTCAAGCAAAATTAAGTTACTCTTATTAGAAAAAAAACTTGTCGTATTCTCCTTCTCACAGTGTACACACTTAAAGAGATGTCCCGAATGATGTTCACAAACTGTCAGTAAGATGGTAGGGTAGTGGATAATTTGTTGTCTTCTTTGTACTTTTTTGTGTTGTTTGAATTTTTTAAGATGAGCCCATATTTTTATAAAAGCTGTAAAAATGTCAGTGTTAATATAAAATAGTTTGGTCAGTAGTATCATTATTCTAATTTGCTTCTTAGTCATTTAAAAAAAAGCAGTCTTGACAGACACCAGAGAGAGTCCTTGACAATATTTTTGCAACTCATGCCGAAGGTATTGGCAACTGCCTAGAGACCAAAGGCACATGCTGTGGAAAACATCAGCTATTCTAACAGGATGCTTTTTGCCTTCTCATTGAATTCATAAATCAAAACAGTGAGCTGGAGAGTGTGAAGTGGGATTGACCTGAATTTCTGTGATGCTGGTGACAGAAAGTGTAGTATAATGTGCTATTGTACTGAAGTCTGAGGTTCCAGTCCTGGCCTAACCCATCACCGGCATCATCATTTTGGGTGTTTGGAGTCCATCTCAACCTCTGCTCTTTGCTACAGTGACTGTCTCTTCCTTGAACCTGCCATGTCCCCCTGCCTCGGAGTCTTTTCATGCGCAGTTCTCACGGCACAGGGCACACCTCCTTTCCTTTCCCTTCACTGGGTTCCTTCTTACTCATGCTCGGGACTTAGCTTTAACCTCCTTCCTCTGGAAGGCCTTCTGTGTAACCAGTGGCACTTCTCAGCACATCTGTAGTCACTCGCTCAGTGTCAGACTTCCTCAGCAGACTGGCCTCGGGGAGACAGGGCTCCAGTTTAGGAAGTGCAAGGTCAGGTTCTCTCATTGCCCCTACACAGCACGTACTTCCTCTCCTTCTCTGGGCTCAGCCAGGATGGTTACTCTCCTCCTGTGACTTGTGCTGGGACAGTGAACTCTGCTCACCTCTCTTCCTGCTCCCTCATGGCCTCTAGGTTTTCTTTTTCTCAGGGGGCCTCTTAGCACCTGCTTCTGTTAGAAGCTGTCACTTTTTTTGGTGGTGTCCATGTTTGTTAGGAAAGAGTGGCTGTTCTGTTCAGCCCCTTACCCTATAGCACTAGCCATTCCTGTAGGAGAGAGTGTCACTCCTCCACCCACAGGCCAGTGCCAGAGGGAGGTGGACCCTGCAGGCATCCTTAGATTCTCCCAGAAGCCTCGGCTTGACCTCTCTAGTAAAAGAGATGGCGGTGAAAAAAGCATGTTACAAAGCAGTACCTGCAATGTAATCCTAAATGTATGTTTTATGTATAAAAGACTGAAAAGAAATAGATCAGTGACCCAAGATGTGATCTACCCTGGAGAATTTTCTGTGTGCACTTGAGAAGAAAGTGTATTCTGCTGTTTTTGGATGGAATGTCCTATAAACATCAATTAAATCCATCTGGTCTAATGTGTCATTTAAAGCTTGTGTTTCCTTATTTATTTTCTGTTTGGATGGTCTGTCCGTTGGTGTAAGTGGGGTGTTAAAGTTGCCTACTATTACTGTGTTACTGTCAATTACCCCTTTTATGGCTGCAAACAGATGGAGAGTTATACCATGTTCTTGGATTGGAAGAACCAATATTGTGAAAACGACTATACTACACAAAACAATCTACAGATTCAATGCAATCCCTATCAAATTACCAATGGTGTTTTTCACAGAACTAGAACAAAAAATTTTACAATTTGTATGGAAACACAAAAGACCCCAAACAGCCAAAGCAATCTTGAGAAAGAAAAATGGAGCTGGAGGAATCAGGCTCTCTGACTTCAGACTATATTACAAAGCTACAGTAATCAAGACAGTATGGTACTGGCACAGAAACAGAAATATAGATCAATGGAACAGGATAGAAAGCCCAGAGATAAACCCATGCACATATGGTCACCTTATCTTTGACAAAGGAGGCAAGAATATACAATGGAGAAAAGACAGCCTCTTGAATAGTGGAGATGGGAAAACTGGAAAGCTACCTGTATAAGAATGAAATTAGAACACTCCCTAACACCATACACAAAAATAAACTGAAAATGGATCAAAGACCTAAATTAAGGCCAGACACTATAAAACTCTTAGAGGAAAACATAGGCAGAATACTCTATGACATAAATCGTAGCAAGATCCTTTTTGACCCACCTCCTAGAGTAATGGAAATAAAATAAAAAATAAACAAATGGGACCTAATGAAACTTCAAAGCTTTTGCACAGCAAAGGAAACCATAAACAAGACCAAAAGACAACCCTCAGAATGGCAGAAAATACTTGCAAACAAAGCAACTGACAAAGGATTAATCTCCAAAATATACAAGCACCTCATGCAGCTCAATATCAAAAAAGCAAAAACCCAATCCAAAAATGGGCAGAAGACCTTAACAGACATTTCTCCAAAGCAGACTTACAGATTGCCAACAAACACATGAAAAGATGCTCAACATCACTAATCATTAGAGAAATGCACATCAAAACCACAATGAGGTATCACCTCACACCAGTCAGAATGGTCATCATCAAAAAATCTACAAATAATGAATGCTGGAGAGGGCGTGGAGAAAAGGGAACCCTTCTGCACTGTTGGTGGGAATGTAAATTGATATAGCCACTATGGAGAACAGTATGGAGGTTCCTTAAAAAACTAAAAATAGAATTACCATATGACCCAGCAATCCCACTACTGGGCATGTACCCTGTGAAACCCATAATTCAAAAAGAGTCAGGTACCACAATGTTCATTGCAGCTCTGTTTACAATAGCCAGGACATGGAAGCAACCTAAGTGTCCATTGACAGATGAATGTTTAAAGAAGATGTGGCACATATATACAATGGAATACTATTCAACCATAAAAAGAAACAAAACTGAGTTATTTGTAGTGAGGTGTATGGACCTAGAGTCTGTTATACAGAGTAAAGTAAGACAGAAAGAGAAAAACCAATACTGTATGCTAACACACATGTAAGGAATCTAAAAAAATGATACTGATGAACCTAGTGGCAGGACAGGAATACAGATGCAGATGTAGAGAACAGACTTGAGGACACAGGGTGGGAATGGTAAGCTGGGACGAAGTGAGAGTGGCAATGACATATATACACTACCAAATGTAAAATAGATAGCTAGTGGGAAGCAGCCGCATAGCACAGGGAGATCAGCTCGGTGCTGTGTGACCACCTAGAGGGGTGAGATAGGGAGGGTGGGAGGGAGACACAAGAGGGAGGAGATATGGGGATATATGTATACATATAGCTGATTCACTTTGTTATACAGCAGAAAATAACACACCATTGTGAATCAACTATATTCCAATAAAGATATTAAAAAAAGGAAATAAATCAAATTATTATGAATGGGTTTCTCTGATGGAATTTCAAGTTATTTTTATTTTCTTGTTTTCAAATTTTCTGTCGTAAACATTTCCAAAGATGCTGGGTGGTACTTCTTAAGCCCCTATGTACGGCTCTGTACTGAGTAGCCGCCATGAAGACTAGGAGAAGTTGGCCCCTGCCATTTGGAAGTGTGTGTCATTCTGCCACGTTTTTAATTTCTGCCCCTGTCTGATGTGTTTGCTCGCTCTCTTCACCCTCGTGTCTTTCTCCTCCCCAGATGACCGGTTGGCTGGAATCCCCCCCCACATCCTCCACAGCTCCCCTTCCGACCAGCAGATCAACCAGCTGGCCCAGAGGCTGGGCCCCGAGTGGGAGCCCGTGGTGCTGTCTCTGGGGCTGTCCCAGACTGACATCTACCGCTGTAAGGCCAACCATCCCCACAATGTTCAGTCCCAGATGGTGGAGGCCTTGGTTCGCTGGAGGCAGCGCTTCGGGAAGCAGGCCACCTTCCAGAGCCTGCTCAGGGGTCTCCAGGCCGTGGACGTGGACCCCTCGGTGCTCCAGCACATGTTGGGATGATGGCGCCCTGTCAGCACCTGGGGAGTCCATCCCCTAGTCTCGTGTGCCGGATCCTGACTCTCACCCAGTGCAGGTAGATTTGGGGGGACTGGTTGGTTTGTTTTAGTGATTTCTTAGATGAAAGCAGATAATGGGATTTCTACTTGACATTACTTGAAAGGCGGGATGACTCAGTTGATCTCCCACGGTGATTTGACAATTCATTGTTTCTCATTGCTCGGAGATTACATTATTTGAATTGTGCAGGTTTTAATTGTGTGGTTGCCATTTAATAGACTGGTAGATCCTAGTGGCTCCATAAAATACAGGTTATGAAGCAGAAACTAACACACCATTGTAAAGCAATTCTACTCCAATAAAGATGTAAAAAAAAAAAAATACAGGTGTTCTATATATAAAACATCCACTTTTATGTTGCCTGGGAACTGAACTGTGGACTTAGCTATCAATCATGATGTTAATAATAAAAATTGAATTACTGTATGTAATGTGGCCCTCTCATGAGAAAGTATTGCTTGTGTTTTTTTTCTTTCATTCTTGTGTTGCATAGATTAAGGGTGTAAAACTACAGTAGTCCTTTCTTTGGAACAGAATAGTAACAGCGAAATGGTTACTTTCTCTAGTCAAGATAAATCGCTCAGGCAGTGTGTCTGCATTAAATTTAAGACACTGAAGCTCCCTGCAAAAACCAGTTCAAGTACCAGCATGCATACCTGAGCCCTTTATCTTTAAAAGATTTGCTTAAGAAAATCCCGCGCCCTTTATTTAAAGGACTGGGGGTTGGGGGGCAGTGTGGTCTTTCCGTTGAAGCCTTGATGGTTGAAGTGTTGTGCTCCTAAGGACTGTGATTTAGTTTTCTGACTTTTTGCTAATAACACATGGTATTTGTCAAATGCTTTACTGTTTTCAAGGCTTTTCACACATGTGATCTCATATGGACCTCACAAAAAGCCTATGAAGTAGTTAGGTAAGAGAGGTGAGCCCCGTCCTGTATCAAGATGAAGCGATTTGCCTGGGGCGGATGAGTGAGCGTGTGTCTTTGCAGCACTGGTCCTGTGTGCCCTTTCCAGCTGCTCCATCCTGCTCCATCCTCTCTCTCACATGCTCTGGAAGAAGCTTGCTGCCCTCCTCCTGCTAGCAGCATCTCCTCAGACAAGTTACTACACTTCTCTAAGCCTCAGTTCCCTCATTTGTAGAGTGAGGCAATGACTGTCCCCACCTCCAAGATTTTTGTGATGATTAAAGGAATAACATCTGCCACAGGCTCATCTAGTGCCTGGCCCATCACCAGCTCTTGGGAAATGGTAGCTGTTAATTCGCTGCTGTGGCTGAACACGGATGCAGTTCCCAGACCAAGTTGAACAGTGGCTAAAGCTGAGGGTACTGTAGGAGGAAGTGCTATTACCACGTTTCTTGCTAAGCTTTAAAATGTGATATGGCTTTATTAATGCTACAGTGGGTCCAATCAAGAGAGACACAGGTGAACATTCCCAATCTGTGATCCATCCTTCTGAATAATTAGAGAATCTATTTCCTAATACTAACTTAACTCAGAATTTTTCAAAGGGAAAAAAATTCTGAGAGCAAGCATATACAGTGCTGAGGTTGGACAGAAAGTGGGTGCTCAAAATGGTGACAGTCGTGAGTCACGACTTTTAGATGTCTAGTAACCGTATTCCCTTTCCTAAAAAGAATCGGTTATTTTACGGTTCAACAAACAGTTCAGAAGGATGGTCCACTGGCCTTATCAGCTCTAATTTTCCATTTTGTAGTCCAGCCATTAATTCATTATCTTGTGAAATCCTCACACTTTTGGCCCCATCACTGCACCCCGTGACAGACTGTTCTTCCACGGCATCTTCAATAACTGCTTGTCATTTTGAACCTTGGACTTGTTAGGTCGCTATTCGTCCCCCTGGGTTTGCTAACAGAGAGGAGCTTTTGTTTTCACCACATGTATGGATGAGCGAGTATAACTGGGCTCGGCTGCCTCTGACTAGATGGCATTTTAGGAGTGGGTCTGATGACTACCCAGGGCATTCCTGCCATTTGTAGGGTGTCTGTTATGCACAGGTACCTTTGTGCTCTGTCAGCAGTGAAGGACAATTTGTGAAGAACTTGCCATGATGGGCTGATGGGGTTATTTTGGAGCGCTGACTTGTTGCCCTGAATGAGCAGGGCATCTCCACCATCAACTAGCAGCTGCAGCTCTTTGGGCCTGCTCATGCCCTTGCAGAAGATTTGCAGAATGCAAGAACCGAACATCAAATCACTGCCTAATTTCTACCTCTTACTGAGAAGAGTGATACTACATGGCATCTGCCTACCTCCCAAGAGAATCCAATAGGTGATTGCCTGCAAGGAGTCCATGTGTTTTTGCACAGAAGAAGGTTCTACAATCCCAGAGACTGCCTACTCCCAATAAAATTCTTAATGAGTACAATGAGGTGGTAGAGCATTTGTAGGTGCTGACAAAAAAAAATGATTAAAAAGTCTAACTCCACTTTCGTTTGGTGTGTGTGTGTGTGTGTGCGCGCGCGTGTGTGCGCACACATGCACGTGCGTGAGTATGCCCCATAACTTTTTAAAAACTGTAACTTCTATGAAATTTTCTCAGTACAAAAATAGTACATCTTTTTTATAGCAGTGAAAAAATACCAATGAGCAAGAAAAAAAAAAAAGAATTGCTCCCACTCCCATCTTCCGAAGATAACTACTTTTACAGCCCAGTTTTGGTCTATGTCCTCCATTTCCTTTCCCATGCCTGCATATTCTCTCTGTAATAAAAACAGGATTGTATCGTACATGCTGTTTTACAGTTGGCTTCTTTTATTTAACATATAACTGTCTTTCCATGTCATTAAAGATTTTTCTATACCTTTCAACATCCTCTGTGATTTTCAACATCCTCTGTGTTCGGAGCACACTTTAAAATCCTATAATTTTTAGCAGCATATTTGAAGAAATTAAAAGAGACTAGCTATTAAGTATAACAATGTCTTTTTGCTGTCAAAACATCCAGCATAATCCCACTGTTTGCTTTGTCCCCCTTTAGAGCCCTGTTGTTACTTGAGTAGAGCTATTGACTGTCCCCACTGTGCATTCTTACATCCTCAAAAAGCAAAGTTGAACACATTCCCATAAATGTTTGGGGCTTTATTCTAAGTTTTTAATCTCTTTCTTACAGCAAGATGCCTTCTCCACTGTGGCATGTGATCCACTCAGCTCCGTGTTCTCTTCCTACAAGTATGTGTTCTGGGGGACAGTAATATTGTGCGTCGATCCGAATTTGGTGGGACGCCATATTTGATCTGTGTGCAGCCGCTGGTCTACACCATCATTTTTAGTAGTGGCATACTTTCCAGTATATGCACGTACCATGACTTGCAGATCACTTTCCTCTTGTGTTAAGTGGATCTTTAAATGGTTTTTCCTTTGTCACTATTACAAACAGTAATGCAAGGAAAGTCCTTGTTAAATATTTACATTCCACCAGAGGTTACAAAGGCAACTGAGGCAGTAGAATGGGTCTGTCTTCATCCCTTTCTCTGAGGAATTCCTCAGAAGTGGTAGTTTTAGGAAGAGACTTCCCTCATTCAGTTATTCAGCAGGCACTTATCAGGAAGCTCCCGTGAGCCAGTTACTCTGCTAAGTGGCGAGGCAAAAAGATGACCGATACACCACAGTCCCGGTCCTCCAGAAACTCACTGTTCGGCCAGTGAGGCTGACATGGATCTCTAATCACAATATGAGATGATGAGGTCCATGCCTGGGTAGTGAGTCTGTGGGAACACAGGGGAGAAAGGATTCACTCTGCCTTGCTTCAGAGGTGAGAGGCGTGGAGAATACTCATATAAGGCTCATCTCTTGGGCAAGTTACTCTACCTTTCTGTGCCAGTTTCTTCATATGTAATGTGGGCAATAACAGTACTGTGCTTACAGTCAGGCTCCCACAAAATTAAAGCTTAGAACAGTGCATGGCACAGCAAAAATGTTTTGCTAAATCATTGAGTTGAATTATTTCAGCTATCAGAGTTTGTCTAATATTCTCCACCCTACCGGGTCCCTGAGAAGCGTGAGGGTCAAAATCACCCTTTCCTGCTGTGATTTGCATATGAAAATAGGAAGTACATGGTCCTTCAGTACTTTTATCAAGACTTTAAAGACAAGGAATGTGAACTGGTAGGCACAATTCAGAGCATATTCAGAATTGGGATGGGATTCTGATCTAACACCTGGCTATCATTAAATGAATCTCTACAATCAGCAAGCTAGCAATTTGTGTGCGCCACCAGAGGTGCAAAGATAAATAAGACATAGTCCCTGCCCTGTAGGATCTCAGCCTGTTGAGGAGACAAACACAACAGCCAGCAATTACGATCACTGGCCAGTATCACAGAGGAGGGAGCAACAGAATTGGCTACTGAGGAGGTGACACTTCAATTGAGATTTGTAAGTGCTGCCCAAGTTAGTATGTCGGTCCCTTAAAGGGAAGTTAATGCATATGGATACCAGAATTCCACTTAATTTATTTTACATCCAGTGTGACAAATGGCACTTTTCGCCATGGGTGTACGAGATGCCTCCAAGTTACTGTCTCAAAGCAATCTAGAAGCTAAGAGAATTTCATTGATAGACTAAGTGGCCAATGTTATCCCGTTCTGTACATCAAGACAACAAGGACGTGGAGAAGCATGTGTTTATTTAACCACAGGGGAATTGGGTCAGGCTTCAGGTTTTAGATATCAGGCATATGTGGGGGTTCTTTGTGCCATCTCTAGCCCTTAGTTCTTCCTCGAAAAGTCCCACAGATTAAAATTAGATGTTGCTGGCATACAAGGAACGTTTTTAATGTAATAACCGCCTGTTTACTTCTTAGAGCTGTAGACAGCTTAGAATAGGGATGTCTATCTTGTTGGCATTTGCTGTTTTATAGGAAAATTAAAGTCTCATAAAGACACAGTTCATTGAGCCAGTTAAGCTTGTCTGTTAAAATTATGCAGAATATGTGGCAATAACTCTAAAAGCTATTATTGATTCAAAACATAGACCATGAAATCCAGGTTTCAGTACTGAAAAAGAAAAAAGTAGACCCAACATCTTGGTAATACTCATATGTTTCCATTTCAGTTTTACATTCTGTCTCTAGCCAGTGCTATTTCGGGTGTCGGATTACACTGTTGATGGAGAATATTTGTGGAAAATATCTGCTCTGCCAAGATGTTTGTATCCCCATTGCCGCCAGAATTCATATGTTGAAATCTTAACCCTCAAAGGTGAGGGAATTAGGAGATGAGGCCTTTGGGAGGGATGAGGTCATAAGATGGCGCCCTCATGGAAGTGGCCCCACAGAGCCCCTTGCAGCCCGTGAGGACACAGTGAGAAGGCTCCAGCTATGAACCAGGAGAGGACCTTCGCCAGAACGCGACCATGTTGGCTTCTTGATCTTGCGTTTCCCAGCCTCCAGAACTATGAGCTGTAAGTTCTTGTTTATAAGCTACCCAGTCTGTAGTGTTTTGTGATAGCAGCCCTAACAGACAATATCAAATGGGTTGGATTAGGTCCTATAACCTCCCTCTTGTCAGCTTCTAGGAGATGAATTGACTTAATCAGACTTAGCTGATACCAAGGTCCTTGGCATGACTTAATGGCTCATTGTGGATTCTGGGAGAAGACCGAGTGCCTACAAATGAAGTAAGTAAGCCTACTCATAGACTGGTGGTGGACTTGGTGCTCCTGGCCGTGTCAAAGCCGAGGATGAGGGGGCTCTGCCTAGGGAATGTTTCTTTGAAGGACCAGAATGTCTGTAATAGGTAGTGGTTCTTATCCATTCAGGGGGCAGGGATCCCTTTAAGAATGTGAGAAGACCGTAGAGTCATTCTTTAGAAAAGTGCACACGCATGCACGTGCGCACAAACACCCACACCCCATTTGGCATATAATTTTTAGGGGATTCCCAGTACACCTGAATCCAAGTTACTCACCCCAAGAACCCTAAGCCTATAGGTTATAAAGGGGCACCAGACCTCACTAGCATCTAAGCCTGACTGATCATTTTTTGGCTTTGTAGGGTATTGGGAGAGCTTGTGTCCAACAGAATGGAGCTAAGTGTTTCTGTGGGGTTGCACAAGAATGTAAACTCTGTTATGAAGGACTAACGAAGGTATTGGAATAAAGTTGAAGCCATTTATCTAAACCGTGATCTTTATACAGCTGACCACAGATCTTCTGCCCTATAGGAGGGCAGGCTGGTGGACCTCTTGGACCCGCCTCTTGGAAAGGTAAGAGCTTGCAGACAGGTACTGTATGACAATCTCTAGCTTCTAGGAGCATCCTGCCTCCATCCCGTTTCTTTAGAGCCAGGGATCCTAGACAGGGCAAGACTGAGACTTCTGTGCCCAGCACACTGGAGTTAATTAATTTCAGGAGAAAATTATATAGAGCCACATCTACTTTATATCCTAGGAAATTATTTCCAACATTATCTTTTTGTCCAGCCACCTGCTTGAATCAAGTTTCTGTCAGCCTCTGGAAGTAGTAATTATTCCCTGCTCTGAAACTGAGCTCCGTGCTGGCTTTCTGCTAAGGGAGTGGACCCTTTGGTTGTCTGTGGTCTATTGTCAAGAATTATTTTGTCACTTACTATTGTCAGCTGTTGATTTTCCAACAGATACTATCTTTGAGGCTAAAAATAAATCCTCGCAACACAAGGCCCCTCTTTATGAAGTGTGAAAGACAATATGCACCAGTCAATTATGGATATAATTTTGCAATAGGGAGAACATTTGTTAATGAGGAATGTCTCAAAGAGAAGGAAGGAGGCCTGGGTTTTATAGAGGCAAGTGAACAAGGGAGTCATCCACAAATCCTGTGGGACTCCTGAGAAAGGATGGAGGCGGGTCTTATCTGAGAATATGGGAAGGCTGGGTTGTCCTTTGTGGTGGTTAGCTGTTTCTTGGGACACAAAGCGGGGGCATTTCTTAACCATCACTGCTTTCAGGGAGCACAGGAGCATCCCAGATAAACTTCATCGTTGTCAAAAGCCATATCTTCTTCAACTTTTAAGAGCCTAAAGCAAATTTGAAAGAAAAAAAATGTTTTTGTAAGCTTTGGGTATGAGATAAAATCAGAATTCTGGCATCTCGATTGCCTGTTCTACAAAAGACACTTAAGCTACTCCTCCTTTAATTTGGGTAAAGAAAACCGAAAACCTGCATGACTAAAGCTTAACAAAAGGAGGGGAATCAAAGCTGTTATGGTTTTCTTAGGGACCTAGAGAACCCATGGAATGATTTTCAACTTGGGCCAATCATGGAAACTCTTTCTGTAACTTACAGAAGTTCATTCAACATCTGTTTTTCTGAGCACATGTTATGTGCTAGGCATGGCTATAGATACTAGGGGTACAGCAGTCAATGCAACGGTCCAGAATTTCTCCACTTGTAGAGCTCCCTGCTATGGAGAAAAAGGATGCAACAAAGAGACAGGGAGAGCCAGGGGGATGGAGTAGAAGGCGACATGAGTAAAAACCTGGAGGTGAGGGAGAGAGCCACGCTGAGGCCCGAGAGAACATTCTGAGTGACGGGAAGAATGAAATGTGAAGGCTTGAGATAAGAGCTTTCCAGACATTTTCAAAGAATAGCAAGGGGGTCAGGGTGGCTAAAGTGTGGTGGGCAAGCAGGCAGGTAGTAGGGGCTGAGGTCGGAGAGCTGGGAGGATCAGAGGGGGAGCGTCTGACAGGCTACTGGCTTTTGCTCAGGGTGAGATGGGAAGCTACTGCATGGTTTTCAGCAGAGGCAATGACATCATCTAACTTACAGTCCCAAAGGATCACTCTAGCTGACATTTTTAGAGAGCTGAAGCAGGGAAATAGTGAAGAGGCTGTTGCACTAATGCTGATGAGAAGATGGAGACTTGGGTCAAGATGGACGTGTGAAGTGCAGTGGATGCGTGGTACCCTGCTCAGGTCCCCTTCAGAAATGAAAGATTTATTCCTCCTGCAGCAGGGAGGTCTCCAGCTGATAGCCTTTGGCTGTCAGCCCTCTTTAAAGATTGCCCCCTCTGAGGAGAGCCATCTTGCACAATGGCCTTGCCCCTTCCTGGGCAGCCTGCATTCAGTGACTACAGGTGAAGAGGTATAAAGGCCTGGCTGCCCACCTCAGTTCAGAGCAGCTCCCAAGGGCCATCCCAGCTCAGGGCTCCTTGTGGAGTCAGCTCAGGCCTTCTTTGTGACAGTATCTCAGCCCCACTTCCCCCTCTTTCTAAGCCTGTTTCCTTCCCTTTAACAGGTGTCGATCCCAGGAGCACTCTCTAATCACCTTCCTGCCCACCCAGCTCCATCTCAGAATCAGCTTCCAGACGCACGCATCCTGTGACGTGGAGGTGGTGAGCAGTGGTCAGGTTCTGATTACATTGTGAAGGTAGAACCAAATGGATTTGTTGATGGGTTGGATAGGGTGTTAAAATGACAAAAACTGGTGGTGAAACATCAAGGTTGCATTTTTAACAAATGGAAAGATGGAATCGTTATGAACTGACATGAGAAAGGCAGGGGTTTTTTTGAGGGGGGTGGTGGAAGTTAGGAAATATATTAGAAATAAAAATAAATTCTTAATATTCATACAGGTAAAAAGTCAACTTCCATTTCCAGGAGCAGACTCTTAACTTTGAATACTCCCAATGTTATTCAGTTTTAGATATAATCTGTTGTAGCCAACATTTCATTTCACTGGAGGAACGTCAGAGTAATTAAACATAGACAGTGTGAACACATATGTTCAGTCATTACCCGGGGGTTGCTAATTCATAGAGACACAAATAGCGCTAGTTGGTTTTACAAGGGAACAAAGCCAGCCGTTGGCACGTCCACCAGGGTATATATCAAGAAGTGTTTTTTCTGCGAGACCCGTAGTATCCACAGTATAGTAACAGGCTCCCATGAGAAGCTGAAAAGAAGCAAAGCTGCTTACAGACTGCATATATCACACAACCAGACAGTGATCCCAAGGCAACCTAGAAGGGATCACCGTGACATGACACCACCCCCTTTTATAGATGCAGTTCTGAGAAAAGTCACAGTAGGGAGAAAATTCACTGTGGGGAACAGTAGTTAGGACATGAATCTTGAGCTGAGGCTTGACAGAAGTGTAAAGTCAGTGGAGAGGCTGGGAATGGGGTTTCTAGAGGAGGAAGGAATGTGCGAGAAGTGAGGATGGGTAAGACGGATACTAGGAACAGTAGTGATGAGTATGCCTCCCAACAAAATTACATCGATTGGGTAAAGTGGGGCAAGTCAGCTGACTTCTAAAACCAGGCAAGGAGTTTGGATTTTGCATTTTAAATTACCAAGGGAACAGAAGAAATCTTCTCAAAAGCTTTAAGGTGCCAGTGTGCATTGTGAATCTCCAAAATGGAAATGTGCAGTATTTACCAAACTTAACATTGGAAGCTTTTTTTCGGTGACCACCTATTAACAACTTTGGAAAGATTTGTTCTACAGACATACTGAGGCAGAGGGCACAAAACCTTGGAGTGTGCTGGGGAAAGTAGGGCTCAAAGGTACCACAAATAACCAAGATTTTTAAAGGGCACGAACGGTATCCTGGGTGGTGTACAAATAGCATCAGTCTATTCTCATCCTCACTGTTAGCAGCACGTCATGGGTCACTTGGAAAGAGACTCGTGGCTTTCTGGGACCTTCTTTCCCTCTTTAGTGATTGATAAATCTGTTGCATTTTTCATCATATGATTCTTGTATCCTTGCAGAATACCTTTCTGGCTTGGTGTCACACTGCATTTAGTTCAAGCAATAGGTTGCACTGCCTGTTCGTCAGCAGGTAGCGGGCACTCTCTCTGGTCATTGTCAGGTGCCAGGTGGCACCTGTCAGACAAGCAGGAAGAAACTGGTCTTGCTCCTAACAGCAGCCCCAAACCAGGGAGGCTCTGTCTGCAGCGCCAGGCCTTTTCTGTCTGTCCCCACTCTTGCCACGACTTTTTATGTCTTTGCCGTCTTCTCATTTGGGTTCTCATTTGCTTACTCTGGTCCCCACCCCCCACCACTAAGCCACTTGGTAATTGAACTTGACTTTCATTCTATTTTAAAGAATCTGAAAATAGCTTGTTTTCCCAGTAAGGCCTCCGGCAAGACCTTAACTTTAGTTTAGCAATAGTTCCCAACCAGGAGTGTTACCACATCCCCCCAGCCTTCTACCATGTGGCATTTGGAAATGTTTGGAGGCATTCTTCGTGAGGAGTTATCACCCACCATGCACTATTGGAGGGGGGTGCTATTACCATGGAGAGGGCAGTGGCCAAAGATATTAGGCATCAGCTGGCAGTGTGGGCACTAGCCCTACACAGTGAAGAGCTGCCTCACCCCACATGCCCTTAATGACCCCAGTGAGAATCACTGTGTGCTTCCCAGACTCCAGTCATTTGAGTACCACTTTGACAATTTTTCATTTGTAATGCACCACCTGTGCCAATATTTTTTTTAGTTAACTCAAAAATTTTTTTTCTTTAAGCAATAGTGTGTTTGAAGTAATAGGTCAGTGCTATTTTTAAAATGTGATTTAAAGTACACGTAAAAATAAATACCTAACCCCTCATACAAAATATTCTTCATTAGTGATACACATACGAAGTTTGGGAACACTAGGCAGTGCTTATGGCTGCATACCTTTTTGGGGTTTTGGTGAGGGCATTAGCCTTACACACATTTCTCTTCTGAAATATGAAGGTCTAAGCAAGTGTTTGATGGACTCCTTAGCCCGGGCCTTATAAGGGCAAAGGCCACGTGTTTAATGTCCCATAAAGGTCATTTATACAAAGATGTCTATTCCACTGGCATCCTTGACCCAAGTCAGCTGTCTCTTTGCTGGTTGCAAAGTCAAAGGATAAAAATGAGGCTCGCTTGGCATTCACCTCCTTGGACTGTAGGCTCCGTGAAGACAGACCTGGGTCTTGTGTCCCCACCTTTCCTAAAGCAGAGTCTGACACATGCTTTGTGATTAATGCAATTCTCAGTAAATGAATGAGATCATGAACAGATGAGTGTATGCTTATCCCTCCTCCAGACGTACAATGGAGGACTGTAAATGCTACTGTCACTGAGTCCAAAATGTCTTGCGTATAAGTTTCTTGGGCAAGTTCTGTAAATTCTCTGTGCTTCAGTTTCACTACCTCTGAAATCAGGTTGTAATAATACCTACCTTACAGCACTGTTATGAGGAATCAATGAGATAACGTTTGCAAAGTGCTTCAATCAGTGTCAGGCATAGAATAAATGTTATAGAAATATTTGATGACGAATGGATGGTGTCTGTCTTATATTCAGGTTTTCAATATTTGTTGAAAGAGTGAATCAACAGATACTGGGCCACAGTGTTCCTACACTCCAGGTCCAGATCCTCAGCTGTTCCCAGGGGCAGCAGCAGATGCTGAAACAGAACTTCCCTAGCCCTAGCCAGGGGGTCCGGCTACAGTTCTCAGCACAGGAAGAGCTTTTCCAGAACAGGTAACCTAGGGCGATAAGCCCCACCCCCTCCTCAGTCACAGGCCGCACAGAGATTCGTCCTGGTGTTTGTTTGAGGCAATGCTAGAACGTGTCCAATTAACTCAATTCCTGGTCGCCTCAGCTGACTCATTGTGCAGGAACACTGCATTCACAGACAGTGAGCATAGAGGTGGGGGAGGGAGGACAAAGGAGGCAAGGCAGCGCTGGTGGAGCATCTATTAGGAGCCAGGCTCAGGGAAGGTGATTTCAAGTGCACTGTGTCATTCCGTCCTCTGACAACCTTAGGAGTCGGGATTTTAGCCTTATTTCCCTCATTTTACAAGTCAGAAAACTGATGCTCAAGGAAGTTAACTAACGCAGCCAAGGTCATACATAGCAGTGTCAAAATTTGAACTCAGGCCCATGTGAGTGGTTTTATAACCCCAGTATATAGTCCAGGTACTGCCAAGGACCCCAGCATGGCTGTCAGCTTCATACTGAAATGTTTCCAGCCCACCTGCTGGGTTTTTGGTGTCGGTAGCTCTCTCCCCTCATTATTGCAGACAGCAAGTGGGTGATGTTCATAAAATAGATGATCTTTAATAGCTCCCGCCTGCTGCCAGCCATGGAGTCATGTGAAATAGCACAGCAGAGTTGAGGTTGCTCTTATTACCCTGTGGGATTTCGTCAAAAGCCAAAATAATCCTGGCTGAGACAGTGTGTGGGCAGGGCACGGCAAGAGCTTTTGAATAGGGTGTTTGTCTCATTGGCTGAAGGAAAAGTGCTCTATTCATGACCTTCTCCTGATAGGTCTTTTGCATGAGAAAGTGTAGGAAAAGCCAGATTCTCAGAGAGAAGAGGCCTGTCCCCTTTCTCTGAGCAGGGAGATCCCACATCCCATCCCTAGCAAAACGATTTTAGATGAACAGTTGAAATGTTTTTCTCCCACAATTGTGGGGCTGTACTAAGAAGTTTTCTTAGTATCTCAGTGTTCTGGGGAGGATTCTGGCTCTTTTTAGCCAAACGAAATCTGAGCTTCTTCTTGACGTCACTCAAAATCCTCGTTGCTCTCTATCTCTACCCCAAAGCCTTCCTTCTGTCCCCACGGACTCCAAGCCTATTTTCAAAGTGAAACATCATCAGCCTACTCTACCCTCTGAGGAGTAATCCTCCTGCCTTTTGCAGATGACTGTGACTGTGTCCTGCCTACCAAACAGCTCATCTTGTCAAATCATCCACACGATTGGGACATGACCTATCATCTGAGTTTATTAATTCCAGCAAAGATGATGTGAGGTGGTTTTGGTCAACCTGAAGTTTGGGCTTCCACGTAAAAACCTGAGGCGTTCCCTTTCCAGCCCCATGTCTAGGAACTAAACAGGTCTCCAACCATGGTGGCCGCCCTTGTAGGGCAGGGCTGGCCTTGGCAGGAATGGGGCCAGTATTCAGGATTCACAGTGACTGTTTCAGGCACAAACCCATGCGTATGTGTCTAACTGCTGGAATCTCCAGACACAGTTGGCACCTGTGAGAACCTCTTCCCTCTCCTGTCCAGGCTGTTGGCGTCCTGTATCAAGTCACCATGGTTTCCTCTTCTTTTCAGTTCAGGAAATTTCTCTGGGCTCTGTATCTCACTTGCCAGCTCCAACTTTTCTGCTCTTACCTGGATCTGTCGTTCACTCATTTAACAATTTTTTGGTAGCACCTCCTAGTGCTGAGTGCAGATGAGTGACATCAAAACAAAACAAGCATAGATACTATCCTCATGGACCTTACAATCAGCTTGAAAAGTTACAAGCTGTGACAAGTGATAAGAAGGAAGAGATCAGCGAGCTATGGGGTCATACTGAAGGGAAGCCTCAAATGTTCCTGTGAGGACAATCTGGTTCCCCACTCTCTCCCTCAGTGCTTGAGGCCTGGTCCTGGGTTTCCTTCATTTTGTTAACCTTCCATTAGGGTGACTCAGTTGCACTATTTATTGGGCCTTTGGGTCCTTCTCTCCAAGATGGCACCTCTCATAAAGCCCCTTGGTTCTGTGAACTACAGCCAAAGATGACAGGGTGAAGGCTATCAATAATGATCTCTTCTACAAATGCTAGTCGATGGCTGTGGAAATGGGGAGAGGAAGGTTGGCATGCTGCACGATGGCTTGTAACCTGGAAGCATTACCATAAGTTCAATGTCCCGATTCTGTGGCACTGGCATTGAGGTGCCATTTCTTGTGCCCTGGCCCTTCACCCTAGCTGGGCAGCATATACTGTCCTGAGCCCTGCATCCCAGGACCACAGTATTTCAGAGGAGGTGTCATATAATATGACTTCATTTGCCTACAGGACTTAGTTTAGGAGTGTTGTTCCATTTGTTAACTAATTCAGAAAACATTTGAGCCAATGATTGTTTTCCAGGCTTAGGCATCATCTACTGCCTTCTCACTGTAGAGTCACTATGGAGTCATCTCATCTTCCTTTTGTGATTTCATTTCTTCCATTTTCTTTTTTTCCCTCTTTCTAAGACTATTTTGGGTTTAGATATCAGACTTTCTGGCTTCCTCCTTAAATATTAACTTTTCTCTCCTATTTTCTGTCATTTTGTTGTTTTTTGGAAATTTTATCAAATTTTTCATCCAACCTTTTTATTGGATTTTTAAATTTATGCCATATTTTTTCATTTCTAAGATGTTTTTGTTTTATGGATACTCCCTTTAAAATAGCATCCTTTTGCTTCATGTTTGCAAATATTCTCTTAGCTCTCTGACAGTTTTCACCTTCTTTTACTTTCAAATTACTTTAATCTCTACATTTGTAATCTCTGTTATGTTTGAGTCTTTCTTAATGTCTGGTGATCCTTGGCTGTCATTTATATTTTAAGTTGGGGCACTAAAAAGCTTAATACTAGCTCTCTATTGTGGGTGGGGCTTGAAGACCACCAGGTCACAAGCAGGGTGATGAGGCTGGGGAGTTTAATTGATAACCCAAATGTCAGTATCTTTAGGTCTTTTCTTTCGGCTTGTAAGATGCTTTTCAGTGAAGAATCTTCTTTGTTTTTGTTTTTTCAATTTGAATTTTATTTTATTTTTTATACAGCAGGTTCTTCTTACTTAACTATTTTATACATATTAGTGTACATATGTCAATCCCAATCTCCCAATTCATCCCACCACCACCCCCTGCTTTCCCCTCTTGGTGTCCATACATTTGTTCTCTACATCTGTGTCTCTATTTCTGCCTTGCAAACCGGTTCTGTACCACTTTTCTATATTCCACATATATGTGTTAGCATACGATATTTGTTTTTCTCTTTCTGACTTACTTCACTCTGTATAACAGACTCTAGGTCCATCCACGTCTCTACAAATGACCCAATTTCGTTCCTTTTTATGGCTAAGTAATATTCCGTTGTATATATATACCACATCTTCTTTATCCATTCATCTGTCGATGGGCATTTAGGTTACTTCCATGACCTGCCTATTCTAAATAGTGCTGCAGTGAACACTGGGGTGCATGTGTCTTTTTGAATTATGGTTTTCTCTGGGTATATGCCCAGTAGTGGGATAGCTGGGTCATATGGTAATTCTATTTTTACTTTTTGAAGGAACCTGCATACTGTCCTCCATAGTGGCTGTATCGATTTACATTCCCACCAACAGTGCAAGAGGGTTCCCTTATCTCCACACCCTCTCCAGCATTTGTTGTTTGTAGATTTTCTGATGATGCCCATTCTAACCGGTGTGAGGTGATACCTCATTGTAGTTTTGATTTACATTTCTCTAATAATTAGTGATGTTGAGCAGGTTTTCATGTGCCTCTTGGCCATCTGTATGTCTTTGGAGAAATGTCTATTTAGGTCTTCTACCCAGTTTTTGTTGGGTTGTTTGTTTTTTTAATATTGAGCTGCATGAGCTGTTTATATATTTTGGAGATTAATCATTTGTCCGTTGCTTCATTTGCAAATAGTTTCTCCCATTCTGAGGGTTGTCTTTTTCTCTTGTTTATAGTTTCCTTTGCTGTGCAAAAGCTTTAAAGTGTCATTAGGTCCCATTTGTTTATTTTTGTTTTTATTTGCATTTCTCTAGGAGGTGGATCAAAAAAGATCTTGCTGTGGTTTATGTCAAAGAGTGTTCTTCCTATGTTTTCCTCTAAGAGTTTTATAGTGTCTGGTCTCACATTTAGGTCTTTAATCCATTTTGAGTTTATTTTTGTGTATGGTGTTAGGGAGTGTTCTAATTTCATTCTTTTACATGTAGCTGTCCAGTTTTCCGAGCATCACTTATTGTAGAGACTGTCTTTTCTCCATTGTATATACTTGCCTCCTTTGTCATAGATTAGTTGACCATTGGTGTGTGGGTTTATCTTTGGGCTTTCTATCCTGTTCCATTGATCTGTATTTCTGTTTTTGTGCCAGTACCATATCGTCTTGATCACTGTAACTTTGTAGTATAGTCTGAAGTCAGGGAGCCTGATTCCTCCAGCTCTGTTTTTTTCTCTCAAGATTGCTTTGACTATTCAGGGTCTTTTGTGTCTCCATACAAATTTTAATATGATTTGTTCTAGTTCCATAAAAAATGCCATTGGTAGTTTGATAGGGATTGCATTGAATCTGTAGATTGCTTTGGGTAGTATAGTCATTTTCACAATATTGATTCTTCCAATCCAAGAACATGGTATATCTCTCCATCTGTTTGTGTCATCTTTGATTTCTTTCATCAGTGTCTTATAGTTTTCTGAGTACAGGTCTTTTACCTCCTTAGGTAGATTTATTCCTTGGTATTTTATTCTTTTTGTTGCAATGGTGAATGGGAGTGTTTCCTTAATTTCTCTTTCTGATCTTTCATTGTTAGTGTATAGGAATGTAAGAGATTTCTGTGCATTAATTTTGTATCCTGCAACTTTACCAAATTCATTGATTAACTCTAGTAGTTTTCTGGTGGCATCTTTAGGATTTCCTATGTATGGTATCATGTCATCTGCAAACAGTGACAGTTTTACCTTTTTTTTCCAATTTGTATTCCTTTTATTTCT